GCCATAGGGTGACAAAAAGGTTTGGGAAGGAATTAATTATGTCAAGAATGGCAGTTACATTTTATTTGTGATTTCACTGGACCGAAAAGCAGGGTGAGCAATACAGGTAATTGCTGGAGCTGCACCTGTGCTGTTCTGAACATGTGAACATGTTGCCTTTCTGCTTCTATCTATCCAAGAAAGAAGAGAGCAATATGTTTCCAAACTTGCATTGGAGGAAGCAACTTTTGCTGATGTGATATATGAGGCACTTTCCCCTTGTCTATTCCAGCCCTGTAGGAGGCAGTTTCATCCCTCTCTGTTGGGGAGCTCAGATTTATGGACCTGAAACTGTATGCCTGTATAATGCTTTTCAGCCTGTGCTCCCTCTCTATCAACATCAATGTAGTTTATATAAGGAAGCGAATTACATTTATTTTTTGAAGCAGTTCATTCACCATGGACACATCGGGCAGTTGTCCAAGCAGGCAGGGCCGCCTTATACAGGCCATATCTGTATTTCTCAATGGTTTACAGCAAGATTTCTCTATTTGAGTAACATTACCAACTGGTTGCCTCATTTGAACTCCGGATGTCTCACTGGCAGTATTGGATGGAAAAGTTGGCCAGCAAACATGATCATTGCAAGCAGCTCTGATCACCCAAACATATCTCTCTCTCCTGCAGTGCATCTGTTTTTGGCTGCATGGTTCTCTTGCAGCGCTCACCCTCCTGTAGTTTAGTCATAAACTAATATAATATCTTTAGCATGCCCTGGGGCCAGGGGGCTACTGCCTCTCAAGGCTGCCGGTCGAGGATGTGTCCAACTGCATCCATAAACAGACACCCGACTGAGCGCACATCCTCGGTCCGGCAATGTAAACACACTGGCACTGAACGCAAGAGTGAAATGAGAATAGTACTTAATCCCGCACACATGAGAGCAATCAAATATGTGTTTCTAACTAGTCGGCCCTCACCTTCTCCCACCCTTTTCCTTGTTCTATCCGTCACTGCTCCCCAAAGCTGTATATGAAATCCTTAACTCCATGTCCATGCTGTAATGCTTCAATTCTCAAAACATCCATTTGCTAATCTACGGTGGTACTCAATTCTGAACATGAAACCCATGGATAACAGGATCCATCTGTAGCATACTTTGTGTGTGTGTGCTGGAGTGATTGTGAGTGCAGAATCAATGTGAAGACATTGTTCTAAATCAAAATGATTGCAATTATAATGCATTGTAACATCTAGAAGACATTTTTGATGCTCTGATGCAATGTATGTTGAAGGGGTGGCTTGTTCAGGTTTGGACAAGTTTTCTTTATTTTGGAATGACTTTAATTTTTGAGAGGTGGATGCCTGGTCCACGTAGGATATGGTTGTGTGGACGGTCCAGGCTGGCTCTGGGGCCCCTGCCTCTATCCATATGTCAAAAGAGGAAGCTGTCTGCCTGGGAAGAGCTAGCCGTATATCTCCCCTGCACCGAGGGAGCTGCTCCCTGCCTCTCATTTCCTCAAGGGATTGCATGGTGATAAATGGAGGGAGGATACCATGCACACACAGCAGGGGTGGTAAGCAGGTCAAAAAGACACACTCATAGACAGGATTTGCACATACTTCTCATTCTCACACACCTGTGAAAATGGATTAACTTAAAAATTAATTTTAAATTATAGTGCAGGCAATATTTGCATACTTAAGTGCATAATTTCCAGTGCTATTTTATTATTATTTAATATAGTATTTGTTAATATTTAAAATGATCTTTTTATTTTAAATTTAGGAATTTCATTCGGTGCTTTTGTAATTGAATTCTTTTTTATTTTATTCATTTTATTCAGCTTCAATTTAATCTCCGGTTTTAGTACTTCAACTTAAAATTATATTTATATATATTATATATATATATATTACATTTCTAAGTTTTAAGTTTAATTTGAAGTTTTTCATCTACTATTTATATTTTATTTCAGTTTGTAATTAATTTAAATTTCTAAATGTTTTAGTTAACACAACCATTATTAATATTTGCACTCCAAATGTACAAAAACATATATTCTTTTGTTTATTACAGATGATAGATAGATAGATGGGTGGATGGATGGATAGAAGAGATTGATAGATAGATATATCTATCTTTTTATCAAAAGTACAAACATTTTGTGAACTATTATACAAAGCTGAATTTTCAGCATCATTACTCCAGTCTTCAGTGTCACATGATCATTCTAAAATCATTCTAATATGCTGATTTTCTACTCAAGAAACATTTCTTCTTCTTCTTCTTCTTCTTCTTCTTCTTCTTCTTCTTCTTCTTCTTCTTCTTCTTCTTCTTCTTCTTATTATTATTATTATTATTATTATTATTATTATTATCAATGTGGAAAGTTGCCCTGCTTAATATTTTCGTGGCAAACATGATGCATTATAAATGCCTTTACTGTCATTTCAATTTAAAACATCTTTGCTAAATAAAAGTATTACTTTATTTAATTAAAAAAACCTTACTGACCCCAAACATTTGAACAGTGTAGATATTTTATATCCATTGCTTGGAAAATGGCTGAGAAAGATGCCTTTTGATTGCATAATGATGCACATCAACCCCACATTCAGTGTAAACATCGGATTTATCATTTGGGAAACCCTACAGTGTTTGAAAAAGGTCATGCTATAGTGGTGCAAGAACTATACACCTCACCTTTAAAAGAACAAAGAATGACTGAACAAGAAAGTTTTAGAGAGAAAGGCCCCTGCGGAATGGTAAGGCGCCGTGATATGACATATCTGGCTGCAGATTCATCTACGCTGCAGGCCGCTAATGATCTCTTAAATGTGAGCTGGAGAACTCTAGGGTGGTTACTGATGGTCACAGACCTGTCCGAGGGCATGGGGAACACATATTACTGATGATAGTCCCCTCACACCAGAAAGGCTCCAGATCACTTATGGGAGTCTGGGATTCTGGAGAATCCAGCATTCAGAATATTATGCTCAATGAGTATGGCAGAAATCATGACTTTTGGCCAGTCCAATACTGATGTTGAATGTCAGAATATAAAAGGAGGCTCACAGAGAGTCATTTATTTCACATGAAGCCATTATTCCGAGATCATATGTATAACATTCACGAACACAAACCCTTTGAAAGCTAATTAAACTCCCAGCTGTTTCATTCAGTAGGGTTTCCTTTTCTCCTCAGATTTCAGTATAATTTTAGCACTTAGCCACACTTTAACAGATTTATTTACATTTATTTAAAGAGTTATGCAACGAATGGTAGATTGTAGTGTAATTGTTTTAGAAAGGAAATTAAATGTCAAACATGAAATGTGTTAGTGCAGTTTTAGTAGTCTTCACTTTTAATAGATTAATCTAATGGGCAAAAATCCCATTTCTATAATTTTACACACCGTATCTAGGCGGTGTTCCTGTTGAGAGTGAAGAATGTTGGCAAAGCGAAACGTACACGGCCTTATGATTGTTTTCTTTTGTGACATGCTGATCTCCTCCATTTAGTCTCATGTAAAACCAGTCTAAGTTATGAATGGGTCACATTATCTGTGTGATACCGTTTATAATCATCATTCAAAGTGGAAAAGGGAATATGATACTCACCACAAGCATTTTTTTTTTTTTGGTGGGGGGGGGGGGGTCGCAGATACAGCACAGTTTTGGCAGGCCTTAACTTATGCACTGTATGTGCGCTGATTTATGGGAAACAGAAAGCGATGATGCCTCTCTCATATTCATGTGTCCACAATGCCCTGCACTGGGCTGATTTTATGTGCCAGAGTGGGCATCTGTTGACCAGCTGTTTGAAGAAGCTACAGTTGTGTCTAGCACTCACTGGCATCCCCCTGCCACAAAGAGACACCTGTAGATGCATCATGCAACAGATATTTGCACACACAGTAGAGGACGGGAAGTGTATAGAGGCAGGGTTTATAAATATGCCATCTCTGCAATTCATGTGTGCTGGTTCATTGATCATTAGTGGTTGGAACTTCAGTTGATTTGTGAATATCCTTGTGCATGGGAACTTCATATAGTAAGATCTCACAAAGGGGGAGATTTATATCCCCAGTCTGCCAGTTGGGGAACATGATTAACCAAAATTCCTTCATCCTTTGCCAGTCTCTCTGTCCCTCTCTTTCCCAATGTTTCAATTTTCTGTGTTTTATAGGCATGACATATAATGATTCATAGTGTAATAGCATATTGGAAAAGTAAAATTGTATGTAATAACAGTTAGAAAGAAAGAAAATAATATAAATAATAATACAGTAATAATGTCAAAATGAATTATGCATCGTACAACTATAAAAATCTCTAAATATTTTTGTACTGGGACAAAAAATGCATATGTTTAGGCAATTTTCTAAGACTGTGATAATACTTATACATAACTGCATTGAAATATTGCGTTTTAATATAATTTGAAACAAGATAAAACAGTATATTATACAATGTTTATATATTTAAAATTTTATTGACAAATATTTTAGTTTATATTTAAGGTTTGCATTTAAATATTTTAGTTTCTATAAATATTAGATTTAAATGGTCAGAAAACCCCAGTCTGTGGACAATTTTTAAAAAAGAGCTAAAAACTGTCTTGTTCAGGCAGGCGTTCTTAGTTGGTCCTTAGGCTTTGTCTGCACTAAAAACTCCTCTTTTAGCTATTTCTTTTCCTCATGTATTTTATTTGTTTCTGAATACTAACCAAATGAAAATAGAAATCTGAAAATTAAAACCAAAATAATGAGAAATAAAATTAGAATTAAAAAACACTATTTAAAAAAGGGATAAATAATTAGATGATATGGATTCCATTTAGCAGTTAAACTGTTAGATGGTGGTCTGACTCTGAATTCGCCAAAACATAAATGTATACTTTCTGCTGCCAGCTCTCAGTGACTGTGGTCTGGCAAGGCAAGTGTCCTGCAGGTCAAGGGGCATGATTTATTAAATGTATTTTCGTTTTTTCTAATTAACATTCAAAGGGGCGGAACGTCAATGAGCGGTGGTAGCCTACCTGGCTGACCCTACAGTCTTGTCAATATGTAGGCACCGGAGAAGGTACATCAGGAAGCGATGCCTTAGCAGGTAAATTTCTACCTGTGTAATGTTTCTTATTGTTAAATTATTTGAAGTTATTCAATTATAAAATTATTAAAATATGTGGTTATAATCTCAGGTTTTCCTGCTACTTTCTTACCTTCAAAAAAACTCGAGAAAATATATTTTCTCCCTGTTCATTTCCTCTCCAGCAGTTCTAGGTGTAGTTGTCTGGCAGTCGGATGTAGTCTTGCCACCGTCTTGCTGAATCCCTCTCTTCGTATTCCCCAGCCCCCACAGGTTGAGTTGCACCAGATGTGGAGCCTTTCTGTTGGGAAGGCTAATTGTTTTTCACTGCTACAATCTCATTGGAGTTTTTTTTTTTTTTCACATGTTCATAAATGTATTTAACATTAGTTTTTGGTTCTTCTTTTTCAGACATCCCAGGCCATAGTCGGTGTGAGGAGAGCAGAGCTGAGAGAGGAATGACTTGCTCATTGAAGTAAAGGCAACATTTTCCTCTGCCAGCTTCAACCACTGTAGTGGAGCAAAGCCATAACCATGATAGATTGTCCCCATGTGAGCATGTGTGGGTTTGCACAGGTTCGTACCTGTTTGTTTGTGAATATAGTGTCTATTTACACACACAAACACATGGGCCTGGCTGAATGTGTGTCTGTGACCATTTCTGACAATTTGCGCTGCTGGGTGTGTAGCTCTACGCTTTGCTGAACGTGTGTATGTGAGCTCCGGTCTCTCGGGCCAGGTCATAACAGTGATGGATGGTCCGTGTGTGTGGAGGCCTTTATTATTTGTTATGTGAGCGGGTGTGTGTGACAGCCGTTGTGGGCCGTACACCTGCTGTGCGAGCTGAGAGGCCGAGCGGGAAGAACAGCTGTACGCATTGATTTAGCAGCTCACTCCACAGTCTGCAGGAACAAATCATGCAACAGCTAATAAAACCTGCCTTTATGATCGCGGCCCAACTGCCCCCAAAACAACTGGCTACATCATGTGTTTCTCTAACACCCGCTATTGCTCAAAATTAAACCCTGGACAAAGGTGTCACTTCTGGCCTCTGCAGGTTTAAACGTCTGAGCTAACGAGTTTTTGAAGTTAATGTGAATCCAAATGCAGATTTCTTTTCCCTCACTTTTTGAAAAAAAAGAAAGTGTAAAAAAGTGTAAAATTGTAGGTTGTGAAAGCATGGTATTATATTTGACCTAGGGCTATCAATTGATTTAAAAAAAAAATCACATGACATGCCAATGGAATTATTTGCATATAAATATTTGCCGAGAAATTCTCCAAATGAACATTTCATTCAGTTAAAATATTACATTATTGTGGCAGTAAATAGGCCTGAAAAATCTTCATAAATTGGGGTCGCTTTGAGAGACAAAAAAGATTTAAATTTTTTTTTTTTAGGGCTGCCAAAGTTAATGTGCACTTGAAGGGATAGTTGATGCCTTTTGATTGGAGGGAAAATGAAAATGTGCTGTAAATTTGCTTACCCTCAGGACACCCAAGCTGTTTGCCATGGGGCGGCAGTGGCTCAGTGGTTCATGTCGGTTGCCTACAAACCAGAAAGTTGGTGGTTCAATCTCCAGTTCCACCTGACCAAGTGTTGAGGTGTCCATGAGAAAGACACCTAACCCAAGCTGCTCCCGACGAGCTGGATGTCGCCTTGTATGGCTGACAACGTATGAATGAGTGAGTGAATGTGAGCCAAAATGTAAAGCGCTTTGGTGGCCATTTGGTGTGTGAAAGAGCTATATAAATGAAGTTCTCTCAATAGGGGCCAAGCAGAGAAGCGATCAAACACCTCCACGTTTTCCCTATTTAAATACAGTTACACAAGTAGAGTAACTCGACCAAGAATGGTGTCACAAAATAAAATGTTGCATTTTTCTAAGAGTCTAAAGAGTATAACTAAAATGTATGGCGGAAAACCACAGCAAGTGCTTGGGAACACTTCGACTCGGCATAAGTAATATCATCACTCCGGAGAGGGAGAAGACTTCTCACGGTGCAGCATTGTGTTTGCACCATGAGCAACGTTTTTAAAATGCGCTGTCAAATTTAAAACAGTTCAAAGCATCTCAAAATTGTTCTATTCAGTCAAGAGCCATCCAGTTGTTTGGACAGTGTGTGAACAGCTCCTTGCTCACTTTCTGCTGCCAACTCTCATTGACTGTGTCCTGTTGGCAAGTGTCCTGTTGGTCAAGGGGCAATAACTTATTAAATGTTTTTATTTCATTTTATTATTATTAATTATTCAATTATTTGATATTATTTATTATATATTTTGTTTATTAATGCTTTTTTGAATGTAATACATCTAATGTGTTAATTTAATTATTTTGGTGTTCAGAAGGTTCATGTGCTGGTGTCATCTCAAGAGTGTTAGCATTCCTGAAGGAGATTAGCTTTCTGATCCAGGCCTGTGTGTCTTTACACAGCTGTATGTTTGCTGTCTGGCCTGTGTTAGGCTGTGTCCCATAACAGTGGCCCCATTGTTAGTACCGGGAGCTATGGTGTGTAGACAGACAGAAAAAGGGGACCAGCCGAATACCAGAAGATTGGACATGGCTCCTGTTTCAGTGAAATCGACATCTGACACACACACACAAACACAAACTAGAATGACACATACAATATATGGCCAATCAGTGTGCAGACACCCAAAACACCACAGCCTCAAAAGGACGGGTGTTATTTGAGACATATGAACTAAAATATGCAGTTATATACACACACACACACTGAGATTCACAGCAAAAATTCCTTTCTAGATATTTAAGGCCAATTCACCAATGAAGTCCAGGCACGCACATAAACAACCAAACATGTACAAACATTTTTTCAGCAGCCATTTGCTCCTCTATCCACACAGTATCTACAGCCTGGTGACAACTGGCCCATGGAGTGCTAGTGTGATGCTGTCATAGCTGGAGAGTCGGACACCTGTTAAATAGCTGGGGTGCTACACTGTCTGAAGAACTGGGATATTTGACGCACGGGGTGCTACACTGTTATAAGAACCGTAATATTAAGCTAGCTGGGCGAGATGTTGTGATAGCCACTGGAACATTGTTGAAGAAATCACATGTTAAGCCCAGATGGGCCCCTGGTGCTTTGGTGTGAACGTGTGGAGTGTCTGTGGCTTATTGTGCTCGACCAGTGGCTTGTTAGTTGGTTTTCTCAGGAAGATAATTATATATAATATGATATATTGATGATATTAAAGTATACTATCAGATTAAATGAAAATTTCAGGCACATTTCTGCTTCAGGGGTTGTTATTGTTTATGACTCTAAATTACATAAGATCAAATCAATCTATTAAATAATGAGCACACATATGAACAGTAAAAACTGATTTTACAGTGCCTTCATTCACCTCAAACTAATGCTTGTCAATAATTTTTGCAAAAATCTTGTGAACATCACTGAGCGTTGAAAATTACTGTACGCCGAATTAATGCAGTGAAATCGACAATAAATGACAAGAATTTTTGCATGGATCTAATGAATTTAACTAAATAAAACCAAAACTGATAAGTAATTCAACTAAACATGAAATTACAAAATTGCATTCAAATCATGATGAAAGACACTGCTGTTTTTTTAATATTACATTAAAAAATGTAATATAGTGTTTAATATTACTATATTACAATATCTATCACATTTTTTTTCTACACACAAAAATCCCAACAAGAAAAAAAGGAAACCTTCCAATACCCCTTTACACACTTTATGACATCTGGTCACCTTATACTACTCTTCATATCTGAAGGGTTATTATTGTCTACTAAAACCAAAAATAAAATAAAATTAAACTAACGATAAATTAAAGATAAACCAAATAATAATAAAAAACAGTTTTTTTTTTTACTTTAAATAAAATAAACTTTGATTGAAATGTAGGCTGTATCATATATACATATATCATATATATCTTTTTTGACTTATTTTATGTAAGGCTAGTTGCCAAGACCGCATTTCTCATTTCCATTTAGTTTAGCATGATGTACAAAAATAATTCAATTTTTTTTAAAAAAATTTATAAAAATATGTATAGACATTAAAAACTAATAAAAATGACAAAAACAAAACAAAATTACCAAAACTTTAAAATTAAAACAGAAATGTAAAAACAGCATATTCAAAATATTAATAAAAAGTAAAATCTCAATGATACTTAAATAATAATGGCTCTGAAACATTAATTTGGTAAAGATTTGTAAACATTTCTTAACATTAACTGCATTTCTTATAGGCTTTTTTTTCCTGTGCATTTTAACTATATTTATAAATCATTCATTTTTCAATTTAAAATGAGTTTCAAAGGCCAGTAACGCATACTATATGAATAAAAACTGGTATACTGACTGTAATGTAATATAACAAGCCTTTTAAATCCCCTACAATATTTGAGGTGGCAGTTATGAAATGTGAATGAAGAATTTGAGAATTTGAACTGCAGTGCTGAGCGATTGACTTTGACAACTCAGTCTCACACACTCCGGCTGCCATGATATCCATTTCAGGAGTCCCTGTTAGCAGGAAAGTTAGGAACCGATGCTAAAATAATCTTCTGTCCTTCTGTTTTTGTTTGTGTGTGTGTGTGTGCGTGTGTGTGTGTGTGTGTGTGTGTGTTAGAGTGGATTGTGTGAATTAATGTATGGTTTTAGAGGATATGCTACACCATGAGCATTGGCACATGCATTTCTGTATTCTGGTCACTCTCAGTGTGTGTGTGTGTGTGTGTGTGTGTTGGCCTGCTATCCTTATGTTTTTTCCATTGACAGATCTGGACAGGAAAACCTAACATTTCAAGAAGACCTACAGCTGCAGCATTTCATCACATTTTTATTACAGGTGCATATTTAAATTACTAGCCACTGTTAAAGAAACGAACCTGAACGTGATTAAAGCTACTCTTCACACACCTCCCTGCATGATACTGTGACCTCTCCCATAATGCACTTTACAATATTTCAAAATCCTTTGTGAACAGGGTCCTGCATGACAGAAAAGGTATTTTCTGCTTACAATAAGGAATCACTTGCAAGTGTGGGTATCTGCAGGTTGGAGAAACAGGTGTGCCGAAAGGAAGGAAGGGGGCATGGAGAAAGGTCTTTATCATTGGTCGCGAAAGCTGTCTGTTTGTTCTTCGTTTTTTTTTTTTGTTGTTGTTTTTTTTGTAATGATTCGATTAGTTTCATGCAACAAATTGTGTATTGCCTCACAAGATTACTTTTGCGATTTGCAAAGATTAATATAAAGTTTAATAAAACTTTACACTTACTACTTTGGTGCAGAGGGAACATAAATAGTTGGTACCGATTCTTTTTTCAGGAGCACCTTAGCAAAACCAGCTTTATACTGATCCTCGTTTAAGCAGTCTGGTGAGAAATGATTCACGAAAACATGAAAGCATTGACGTTGATCGTTGATCTTCGAAAACAAAACTGTGTCTTCAACGGTTCGGATTTAGGAACATCAAAATGTGTTCGACACAAGGGGGTAATCCATCAACCGGAAGTTTAAGCCGGGTGCTTGTATCAGAACTTCACTTGCGTTAGCATTTCCATTGACTCCCATTCATTTTGGCGTCACTTTGACAGCGAATAACTTTACATCTGCGGCGTTTGAAGACCTCATTTTTCCTTTATTTATTTCTAAAGAAACACGACAATATATAAAATGCTCCTTTACCTTGTAGCTTATGTTATGGCCCCATAGAAGCAGTTTTTTTTTGTAAGAGTAGGGTAACGATTGCGTCATAACCAAGCGAAAAGCTCGCGGGCAATCGAGGAAACGTGGAGGCAAAATGACAAAATAATTAATCAGAATACCTAGCAAAAGTTTCTCCTGTTCCTAGCTCATGGACAGCTCCTACTCTCACTACCTCTGCAAGTTTCGTAAGGGAATGATTCAGATTTTTCATGCCACAGCCACTAGAAGACAGACGGGTTGCTCACGTCACATATACGTCGTCAAGCTCTTGAGTCGGTTTGAGTCTGCGCGTCAGGAACGGAAGTGCTAAAAATCGCCAAAAACGGGCTTCACTTGTCTCAATGGAGTTCCAATGAGTTGGCTCTGTCCACTTCTTATACTGTCTATGGTTCGACATTGGCTGCGGCTGGATGTAACCGATCGGCGAGAGTTGCCGCGTGCAGGCGGTAAAGAGCTTCAAACGGAGACGTGAAGTCGGGCGCTTTCTGGTTCCCGTAGTGACGGCTCATGTGGTGTTTGCATACTTTACCACAGCTGAAGTGAAATAAATTAAATATTTGCCAAATGCACAGATGTTTCAGACACATTTTCATTCAATATTTGATGTACTGCTTCACACAGCATCTGTTTGAACAAGAATAAAGTTCAAAATAAGCCACTGTAAAAAAAAATCCAAAAAAATCCCTTACTGTTGCATTTACCGTACTTTAGCGTAAACAATACGGCAGCAAATTTTATGTTTTACATCGTTGAACTAAAATTTACGGTAAAAAACTGGCAGCTGGTTGCAAGTGCCATCCAAAGTCTGTACATTTAACAGTATTTTACAGTAAAATTACATGAAATGTCCTGTGAGAGCTACTAGTTTTTCACTAGTAAGAGGATATACTGTTAAGCAATTACATTTTGCCATTGCTTTTTTACAGTTTTTTACTGTTAAAATTGCGAACCTTTTTACAGTGCACACTCCCTGTCATTTGGCTGCACCATTGAAGGAATACATATTTGAATTATATTGCCATTTTTGGACTTGATAATAATGATAACAGACTATTTAAAAATGGAACAGCATTTCTTGTGGCGGCTCCATGTATTTGCACAGTAATATAAAAAGGCAGGACATGGGGGCCGATTCATACCCAGGGCTCCTTAGGAACAGCCTTTAAATTATATGAAAGGAAAGGGCTGCCAGACAGAAAATTAAGGAGGAAAAAACTTTTCAAGTTGAAATATTCACTGGACACAACTTCTGGGCCCCAGACGTCCCTTTATGGCTCTCAGTCCCCTGCTCTCAGAATGAGTTTCCGCTCCATTTTTCCTACATCAAGGAACTGTCTGCACCCCAGTCCTTCTTACCCCCGCAGCCCTCTCGATAGTTTAATTATTGCACAGCAATGTCAGCGAATCCATTTTAGGTCTCCGATTTACTGCAAACTTCTCACTGATGTATTGAGCCCCAGTCACAGGTATGAAGGCTCGGCCTGTCGGCATCCAATGAACACTCTGGGATCCGGTGGGGGGCTCCATTTGTGAAAGCCATCATCCTGCTTTACGCCTGTGACCTTCACATGTCCAAATGCTGTAAATATCCCAGTGGCCTTTGCAGAAATGCGCACAGGCCGCTAACCCAGCTCACAGAGCCGCCATAGTAGTGTTTGCATATAATTAAACCTTAAAAGAAGGCCGCATGTCTGACCTCCTGTAATTATGGCCCTGTGTGGTTTTTCACACCTTCACCTGTTGAGTCAGATTGATTTGACTGGCAGTAGTTCACGTGAAAACTGAGGTAGGTCAAGAGTATGAAACAAATGATTCCTTGGTGTATCCTCTTTTTAAAATGTGACACTGTATGTATTACAATGAATGTGATACCAAAAACACAGAACTCTGGTATAGCCATCACCGCCTCATTCTCTGTCTTCTCTAGATAGTGTTACAGCAGCAGTGGGGAAAGTCACGGCTTTGGGTTCCATGAGTTGCTGTGGTCCTGAGCAAGAATGGCAATTTAAAGAGCTCTGTGAGTCCAGGTCCCTGAGAGCACTTCATCAAGACCCTGGAGCCGGAGGAAGTGGACTTGACTGTCAGTTACTGCACAGGAAATGACCCAGTGTAAGTTTTACAAGTGTGTTTCTCTATATAATTCTTCCGCTTGCTTTGTCAACCTCACATGTTCTGTTTCAGTTCTGTCTTTTTTTTTAATGTGAACCTTTAATTTTTTTTTAATGTGAACCTTTAATTTAAATGGAAAGAAAAAAATACACAAAAGTTGCTGCATAAAATGAATAAGAAATGTTATTAAATGTACAATTAAAAACAAATTAAATGTAAGCAAATTAGTGAGCTTGTGAAACTTTCTGTACAAAAGATTTCCTTGCTTATTGTGCTTCCTTGCTTATTGTGCTGTGTGACATTTTGAAATATAATACTACTAATAATAGTCACACACTTACTAGTCTTTTCTCAAACTGCAGATAATTAATTTGTAACACTTTATAATAAATCAACTAAAAAATAGAATGGTTTGAGATAATTTGACTACATTTGTAAAATGACATTTTTCTCTCTTTGAGAGTATAATTCAGGTTTTAAATATTTACTGTATAATGCATTTTATAATGAATTCATATGGATATTAATTTTATGCAAAGGGACACCAATGTCCTCAGGATCCAAAGTTAAAATCTGCAAATACACAAATCTGTTTCCTGATCTGCAGCATGTTACATGCTCTTAACTAAACCAGTATTTTGCTTGTTCTTTTATCATTAATATGCATGCTTAATTAATTGAGAAATCACTATTTGTCATTTTAAAAATACATTTGTCCATTTAAGTAAAATACTGTATATCAAATTGTATCCTAAGATACAACTTCCTATCTGCATTGCACTTAATGTGTGGTCATTCTAGATATCCAGCATACGCAACTCCACAGATACACTTGAAATATATGGCAGTTATGTTAAATCTGTGTGTGGCATGTCCTACACATGTTGAAACATTTGCAGAGAAGGGTAAAATTGTGTGTGTTCATGACAGCCAGGTTTCTGTCGGGATTCATATCACTCCACAGCCTTTAGGGCCACGCGTCTGTCCAGGGGTGAAGACGTCTCTCACCAGCACATCTGGCCAGCAGAAGAATACACATAGACCCTTCTATACACACACATGACCAGACAGAATGTTTTAAAAACATACTATTAATTCATTACGCATTTAGAGAATGTCATATTTTACTTGGGACAGAGGTTAAGTGTTATTTGTCATACAAATCTAATCATTTGAATGTGTTTTGACTTATGAAATTTCCCCAGGCCTATATAGGAGAATGTGTACCTGATGGAGTTGTTGTTGGGAATGATTATAATATATGTATATATAATTATGTGGACTTTTAAATATCCTAAATAGATTGTAAATAGATCCAAATTAGAGGGAAAAATCTCCTATGTTTCACCATGTAATGGGTTTAAACTTTTTTGACCTATGACCTCTAAAACATGGGCTCACTTCAGGCTGTGTTTGAATTCTGAGACTGACAGGAAATATGTAAATCGTTTAAAGCTGGTGAAAGCTGTGTGCTTTTGCCACTGAAAGGTTTGGAATGTTCTTAGACTTCTAACGAATGAAGAGAAGGAAGTTACACATTATGCAAGAATAGATGAACAAAATTTTTGTTCGAAATATCCGATCAACACACAAATAGTTAGCGTTTACGAACTACTTGATTTAGTGACCAATTCAATTACTCACTCATAAAGACAGTCACTTGTTTCAGTGTAGAAACATGAATCGGAATTTGAAAACAAATTGATTATATAATTTAAAGGGATCATGAACTGGCTTTTTAAATTTTATTATTTTGTTGTCTGAGGTCAACTTAAGACGTTCGCTTGGTTTTTGCATTCAAAAACATCAAAATGAATAAGTAATACGCTATTTTGTACCCTAGTTTTGAGCCTTGCTGAAAAACGCTCGGTTTTTATGGGCGTCTCGAACTGAAGACTTGGAAGTAAACGCCCACTGCTGTGAGTGGATAACAGTTTTGCATATTATAATGAGTTTCAACTCACCCGTCGATGCACTTGGGGGAAATTGTTTTGAAAACATCCAATGTTGTAAAATGGCAACCGGAATGATTCTCCCATAGATGTTATACCCAGAGTCCGTGTGTTGCACAATTCCTGTCAGATCCAATATAGACGGCACAGCACCGTTCTTTAAGACGTATTAATCGGTCTGCAAATCCAGTCTTGTTTACAAAACAATCCTCAGTGAAATGAAGCGACCTCTGTGATTTGTGTTATTATACTCGTCACTTACTTTCTTTTCACTTACTTTATAGGAAAGTATGAAATGTCAGATGTAGCCAGTCACCTATTTAATTTCTTAAAGGGGGGGTTGGCTACTTTTTTTCTTTGCATGATTGTGTTTATGGGGTGCAATATAACATGTATTCGTGGTTTTGCTTTTTTAAAAAGTCTTATTTTTCATAAACTTCACCTTTATTGTCAGCCGCGCTCTCCTCTTATACACGTTTGTTTTACACAATAGCATCTGACTGGCAACAATAGCAACTAACTAATGTTATACTCAAACAGCGTCGGCAAGTTTACGTTCTTGATCAAATCGAAAATAACGTCATAAAACATATATACATGAAAAATACATTTACAACATTAGTACTTATACAAAATTTAGGTCCATGATGTTTGTACGCTTTTGTCGTAGACACAAAATAGCATAACTAGTAACGTTAGCCTAGTGGCAATACAGCCAGCGCTGGAATTTGAAAAAAAAATAAAACACAAGGCTACATCTATAATTATACATGCAAATACATTTAAAATGATGAAGTCTTAGCCTACTTATAGGTTGTGGCCCAACAACTGCTGCCTCTTGTTTTAAAGTTGAAACTGCTTCAGTTTTAGTAACAGTTTCTTGTTGAATCCGGCATTGAACTGGAGATTCTGGAAGCTGTCTTCCGTAAAATGCACTGCACAGAGAGCTAGATTATGATCGTTATTTTCAGGAACATAATCAAACATAAATTGTATCCATTGTTGACGAAGTACAGCGTCCGTGGGAAGCTCAAATACAGAAGACCTGACAGCTGCGTGAACACAACACACTCGACGAGCTGGAGCTGCTGAAATATGCGCATGCCCTTTTTTGCATTTTACGGAGGGAGTGGTTGATGCAAATGTGTGGGTTAGTGACGTGTAAAACCCAGCTGTAGTCCCAATCGAGTCGTTTTTGTAGGCAATATACTTCCTGATTTTTAAAAGACGATATCTCTGCTTACACTGAACTTTCAGCGCTGCAACTTTGCAGATACTGTTCATGCACCAACAGCAACATTACATATGATTTGATCAACATTTTGATCAAATCGATTCACTGAATATTTCAAGTCAGTTGTCGCCACCTACTGGCGTATAGATGTAAAGACTGACACTAAAAAATCTGCACCACTAATGCACAGACTCTATAACAAACACTGACAAGTGAGTTACACATACAGAATTACAAACAGTGAAAAGTGCCTGTGCTGTTAAATATGAGCACTTTTGGAATGGAAATCTTGGAATATTATTTAATCTTTAATTAAATGAGCAGAATAAAACTATTTCATGGTAGACTGACAATTGTACAACCTGCTTTTATGAAGAACCACTGTGTTTCATGGGAACTAAGACTCATCTGTTGGTTTACTCACATGCAGCCACCAGGCTACACTGTTCTGTCTGTGTGTGTATGCATGATCAGGACAGAATTTTATTACACTTTGCAAGTGATTTTGGAAATGCAGATTTGGCAAACAAGCTGTATACAAGATGATAGGTTGGAGAGGGGAAAGTCGCTGATGAAAACTAGGGGGGACAGCCAGGGTTGAGTATAGTGTTTTAACTTCACTGGTGAGTTCCATTAAAAAACTTCTCTTCTCTGTATTTGTCTTTTCTAGCTTGCTTTTTAATCAAGTTGTCAGATAAACCTGGCTTCGCATATCATGACAGCCCATTCTCACCCCCAAGGCGTCACTTAACTGACGCCTTGGGAAGCATTTGGACATGCTTCAATATCTGACGCTTTAGGCGCCCTTTAGCGTCAGTAAGATGACGCCCTAGGATCGCGTGTACCCTACCCCCACCCCACACCTAAACCTAACCGCGTCCTCTAACTGACGCTTTCCTTTAGCGTCAGTTAGATGACGCCGTAGGATCGCGTCATGTAAGTGACGCTAAAGGGCGCCTAAAACGTCAAATATTGAAGCATGGTCAAAGGTGACGCCTTGGGGTGAGAATGCGTTGATCATGAATGTTGATGGCTCCTTGATGAATGCATCTGATAAATACATAAATGTAAAAATCAAATCCATTTAAGTTATGAATTGACATGCCACACTAATAAGTTTCCCTTTTGAGCAGAATGGTGACATTTAGTTCTGAATCTGCTCTGATCTTCACTAATCTGAGACTTAGAGCTCTTTTAGTGTGAACAATGCATGCTGTTTCTGAACATTGTCACCCTTGACATCACCTTTGTAGTCCACCTTTACTATATTTAGCTCCATGTCTCTTGCACCACCATTCTGGACACAAGCCCCCCTTCCCCACTGACATTTTGATTTCATCTGTTTTTGTTGGCCTGTCAGGCTCCTGTGCCTGCAGATATCCTTTGGTATGAGGTAAACTTTCTGATAAGCTGTGAAAAATGTTGTTACACGTTAATGATTGATGCTGCAGAAAGATGATGGATGAGTGTCCAATCCCTTAACCTCTCTCACTCTGATAAACCATGTATCTCATCTTGTTGTACTTTTATTAAAATGGGTTAAAATTAGGAATTTTATTTTTCTTGATCATTTCAGCCAAGGGAGAAGAGTCCTAATGTTTTGGCAATAACTATGCCTTATGGGGAAATAAATAATAGAAAAGGTTTGGTATGATTTTTTGGAATGAAAAATTTACCCCAAATGATTTTAAGATATGACCTTTTTATTCAATCTCTGTGTTGATTCTGAGGGTTAAAGGGATACTCCACCCAAAATTTAAAATTCTGTCATCCTTTACTCAGCCTCAAATTGTTTTGTGTTGGGCCATATACTCTCATTGTTTGATCCCTCCTCCTCGTTACCTGATTAGTGTTGAGTTCTTCCACCTGTACCCTCTTGATTTGTTCCCTTTTTAAGTCTCCTCTTGTTTGCCGTCTTTGTCGGATCGTTGTCATATGTTTCCCAGTTTCCTTGTTATGGTCTTTGTGTTCAGAGTCAGTGTTTGTTCTTCGAGTTCAGTTTTGTTTCATGCGTCTCATTCATGGTGTTTCCCCCTTGTGGGTTTTTGCTTTGTGTTTTGTTTTCTTTTGTAAATAAATCATCCTTTTCTGCACTTGAGTCCTCCCTCCACTATTGTAACTGTTCCGTGAGAGAACGATCCAACCAAGACTGCAAACAAGAGGAGACTTAAAAAGGGAACAAATCAAGAGGGGACCGGTGGAATAACTCAACACTTATCAGGTATAACGTGATGGCCCAACAAAACACCCATGTGCAATACAAGACAGGACAGGCACGTGACAGTATGAGTTTCTTTCTTCTGCTGAACACAAAGGAAGATATTTTGAAGAACGATTGGAACCAAACAGTTGTTTGGTACCATTGACTTCCATAGTAGAAAAAAAATACTATGGAAGTCAATGGTGCCATAGTTCTGATTGTTCTTCAAAATATCATCTTTTGTGTTCAGCAGAAGAAAGAAATTTTTAAAGTAACTTAATGTAAGAACTCAGTTTTCTCTTTTCTTCTTCTTTGAAAGAGACAGCAGCCTGGCTAATAACTTGCACACACTGATGTGTGGACAGGCAGAGCAGACAGATGGAAAAGATGATCAGAACTCCATAACACAGAAGAGAGTGTTGTTTCATTGCAAAAAGAGAAGTTGAAAAGTCATGAAACAACTGAAAGCAGTTAATGTGGGCATGTATGAGCACAAGAAACTTTTTTGTGAGTAAAAGTGTATTAAACGGGTTTAGTGGTTGCTGTTTAATCTTTTTATGCTTTAAGCATGTGCAGTAATGCTTCTTAGGAAAAATGGATGATGGTTTTAAGTTTTATGTTTTTGGTTTAAAGCATAGGTTTAATGTGTGTGCATTATGGGAGTGTGTATATGTACGGTTATGTACTGACTCTGAGTCCTGAGGTGGTTTGTTTTCCCAGCTGTTAGGAGGGAAAGCCCAGTCCCATATGACCTGTGTTTCTCCAGCTGTTCTCAGATCAGCCGCCTCAGCCGGGACTAGAGCAGGACCTCGATAAAAGGCTGTCTCTCACATGACTCGGTTTATTTCTCTGATATTTAAACTCACATTCTCCTCGTTTTGTGTCGCAGGATCTGATGGTTTACACTAATATTTCCTGATGGAAGAAGAAAAAGTTTTATTGACACTGTTGACTATTTTAAGCATTTTGTCTTATTTTTTTTAGAAACAAATATATAGGTTAAATATAAAAAAAGGTTAAACTTTATAACGACAGTTTGAGGTAAATATTTTTTTTTGCAAGGACACATAAAATTGGTCAAAAGTGACAGTAAAGGCATTTATAATGTTACAAAAGATTTTGTATTACAATTCTTTTGATTTTCTTTTGATCTTTCTATTTTTCTAAGATGGAAAAAATGCATCACAGTGTCAGTGTCATCAGCATCTGCTTAAAATAATGATTTCTGAAGGATCATCAGACTAAAGTATATGAAAATTCAGCTTTGCATCACAGGAAAAAATGTTTTAATTCAAATATAAAAACTGTTATTTTAAACTGTATTTTGTTTTTATCTTTAATGGTAAGCATAAGAGAATTCTTTAAAAAAAAATATTTACGGATTCCAAACTTTTGAATATACTGTATCCTGTTTTAAGAATGGTAAACTAGATGGAATATTCATTAATAAAATCATATTTTGCAGTGTTAATAATGACAACAAATGAAAAGATATACACTATAAGGATAATGTTGCACACAAAGGGAAAAGCACCAGAACAAGAGTAGCATAAAAGTGATATGACAAATATTGTACCCTTGAAAGTGTACCCATGAGGTTTTGATTGCTGTATGGAATATAAGTCCTTTGGTCTTAAAGGGTTAACATATTAGTGCGGACAGTCCCAGCTGGTCAGACACGTCTGTCAGCACAGCTATTACAATCCTTTCTGCCAAGGGAAGGGGAGCCGGGCCAGTGACCTTGGAACCAACTGAATTTTATTTTCTGCCTGCCACCCAAATACACATTACTTTTTAGAATTCGCTTGTGGACATATGTTTATGAATGTGTATTTGGATTTAAAGTGAGCTAAACTATCCAGTGCTTGAACTCTTTAGAATGTCATGATAACACAAGGAGAATGGTTTTCTGCTTTGACCCTTAAACTTCATACAATGTGATAATGCAACAATGAGTCATATGCTTAGTGCGAATATGTGATGTCAGTGAGAGACCCTGAGGAGTCAAGGAGAGTGTTAATTTTGCTACTCAAAAAAGAAGATTTGTGTCCTTTAGATTAAAGACACGTGGAGATTCAGGAAGATCTCTTTTTTTTATTATTGTGAATGATAATGAGTGCTTGCATACAGCAATGCATAAAGACCCATTGGCCAGGGTAAGCATCCATGGTCTACTCTTTTCCTGAAAGGGTCAAGAGGTTATGGGCTGACATGAATTCCTCAGAATTCCAAAAGATGTGAACACTCATCTCGCGCTCCATGTTTGTCTGTGCTTTCAGCTCGAGAGGACGGAACGACTCAATAGGAAAACACATGGATCTTCTCTTGAAACATTCACTTCAGTCAGAACTCGCTTTCAAAACTCAGGTAAACGTGATTTATTTTGCTGTAGTGTGCAGGAATCACTTTCACAGTCTGTTTCACCTTTGCATAACCTTGATTTCATATCTCACAATTTAACTTTATCCACCTTAAGTTGGATTTAACCAGACGCTTCCAGCTTTATACAAACTATTAAAAAACAAGAATTGTTGGTAACTAAATGAACAACAGGTGGAGGTAATCCAATGAGAAATTATGGAAATGAACTGGGGTGGGATAAAGGGAACAAAGGAAAAAGGTACAGGAACTAGTCATATGACTTTAAGAGAAAAAATAGAAACATTTGCAAAAAAAAAATTCATAGCTCAAAATATGAAATTATTCAAAGATTAAAAGGATTTATACCAGCCTATTTAATACCATTCTTATTCATATATAATAAATATTTAAAATATTTTTTATATAAAATATTAAATCAGCTATTCTGAGCAAAAAGACTAAAAGAGCTTTATCTGAAAGGTACATTTATTTTATGACTTATATATCAGACGTTTGAATGTGTACTGTACATTTGTAATTTTCCTTATTTTAATTTAAGAGATTTCTTAGCAACTCAGTGAATTCAAATTGAATGATTTTACTCAGTTAGTCTACACGCCTTGAATTAAGTGATCTACAGTAACTCATGGATTTAGTGAACAATAACCCCATGAATTATAATAAGTATTACTTGTAAAAATTGTAAAAACACTAGTAACATGGCCTTCTGTGCCAACTCTGTTGGTTGGGGGCTAATTTTACTTTTTACTTCAAAATAAAAAACAAAATTAGATCAATTAACCAAAAAAAAAAACTGTTTATGACTTTATTTATTAAACTCACAATTATTATTATTATTTTTTTTACTTTCTAAAATTCTGCAGGCTTCCATATACAAGTGCAACAAACATGTTACTGGAAAAAGTGTACCCGTTGCTAAGTTTCTACAGGCGTATCATTGGAAAAAGTCAAGAAAGAGTGAGAGTGTGTGTAGCCAGCAGCTCATGAGAAGTATTGGTGAAAAGAGTTGAGCATGGTGACAGGAGGTCTGACAGGCCAGGCTCTCACAGTCCTCAAGACCTTGAGTTAAATATAGATGAAGGGATTGGATGTGCTCTTGGAGACATGAGCTGAGGCAGTAGGAGAAAGTGATGAGCTCTCCACTTGTTGGATCTTTCTAAACCCTAGCACGTCTGTCCATCACTTGTCAGTTAGCACCTTAGCGCTCAAGTCTCCTTCATCTCATGTCTTCCCTCAGAAAGCATCTCCAGCTTTTAGAGGCCTGTGGTTCTGCTCCGTTTCAAACTGCCACATAAATCAGGTGCTGGGCACAGGCATTGGGGGCCTGGCATGCTAAGTGAGTGTTTGAGTGAAAGTTAACAAGTGTGGGTAGTCGCCATGTATCTGGCATTTTTCGGAGACAAACAATACTATTGTGCGTTGCTCCATTAACATTTTTGCCATGGTGTTCCTCCTCATGAAGGTAAGACACCACATGGTTGAATAACAAGCTGGCGGAGAGGCTTAACATTTGAATAGTGTGGTACAAGATGCGTTTCTAGAATTAAAACCATCATGAGAACATGCTTTAACCATGGTGCCTTGCTGCTGTTCCTGTCCCAAAAATGTCACAACATTCATGTCATTTAACTGATTCAGGTCTCTATCCAAAAGACTATGGCCAATGATGGTTGAATGAATTAATTTTGAATGAAGATGAATGAAAATGAGGAAAAACAATGCTTCAGATCCATCAGCTTTGGGTTCAGTTTTTATGTGAAGTCATCATTGTCCTGAAATGGATGGAGGTTTTAAAACGTATTTAGAGATCAAGCTCAATGACTCGGTTAAGCCTTGGTCCTGGCTAGGTCATAAAAATGGCTCACCTCTGATCCAAAACGTGACATAATGGCAACACACTGGAGGCTTCTGGTAATAAAATTGGCTCAAGTGTGATCCTGGCCCTGGCATCTTAGTATTAGCATCTCTGATCTGACAAGTTATTAGCGAGACTTTGCCTGCCAGCTAATAAACATTACACTGGGATCTGTACATCGCATGCTAATACCAGCTGAAATGGTTTTGCACTTGGAAATATGTTTATTAACAGTTTGCAATAAGGTTGTATGCTTTACATTTTGCTAAATTAATTGTTTCAGTGGCATATTTGAGTTTTCGTGATTTGTTTTTATTATGGTTTCATATTACTATATTATGGAAAAATACATTTTAGTTATGATTAATTAAAAAAAACTATTAATTTGAAAAATGTTTATACAATTTTTAGGGACAATTTAAATTCATTTATCATTTCATCTTACAATTTCTTGTGGTATAAGATTAAGGTTAAAAGTTATTTTTTTAAAAAATCTGATATTTTTAGAGACTTATGTTTTTTTTTCTTCTTGTTGATTGGACCACATAACTTTGATCTGGCAGACAAACAGCCCGATCTCATGAAAGTTCGTGTCTATGGCACGAATGTCATTTCTCGTGGCATTTATACGCCAAAAACAGTTTTTGCGTGTATTTGGCACGCGATTTTCGCGTACATATGATGCGCACTTTTTTGCGTATAATATGCACGAACTCCCCACCCCCCTCCCCCCTAAACCTAACCCAGGGTTTTTTAGTGCGTACCATATACACGAAAAAAACAGTTTTGGCGTATAAATGCCACGAGAAATGACACTCGTGGTATAGATGCGCATCTTCATGAGACTGTGTTGAGACAACATTTTTCAAATATGAATAAGCATGAATAAGAAACATCTTTGTAAGAAATGGGAATAAAAGATAATGTTGTTAAAGATAAAGTGAAACTTAAGATTTTCTTGAGGATTTTTTGTTTTGTTGTAATATAAATGTATTATTTTGTTGTAATATGCAACACTACAACTCACCCTGACATTTTTTGACTTAGGATTGGACAAAACAATAGATAGAACAAAAAACTGGTATAGTAAACAAAATGTGGCATATTATGTTAAGAATCAGAATGAAAGATGAAAATGTATTACATTAATGGCATGATCTTGATATCTAGAGTAGATCTTTTCTCACTAGTATCGTATGACCGGACTCCGTTCCTTTGGTGTTTCTCTTTTTGGTTGGCATGGATGTGAGATTAGTTTCCAGCTGTCCTAGTGAACCTTATCGCACTTCAATATTCTGGTTTGTCAGAGAATGAAATAACTTTTCTGTCCCCGGAGGCAGAGTGAGAGCGGCTGGGACCACCTGACACTGGATCACCCCCATGGAATCCTGGGAATGGTGGTGTTCATTCTGTGGAGCCACACTGCAGGAGATCTGGCATCTCTGAATTGTGTTTATTTGTTGGCACCCTGTCGTGAAAACCTTCCCATCAACTGCATATTAATCTTGTCAGCAAATTTCGAAAGGTCTCTTGCTTTGCATCCACACCTCTTCCAGCTCAAGCTTCTGATGAATTTATGGGCCTCTCCTGCCTCCTACTTGCCTCATCCTCGCTCCTGTTCTCCTCAGTTTCTCTGCTCCTTTCCTTTCCAGTCCATATACATGTCTTCTATACTCACACATGCATAAATATACGGGGATCTTTTGGTGACATTGCCATCATAATAGAATGTCACTATGTGATCCAGTGAAGAGAAACCTCTCAATTCTGCCGAGAGCCCCTTTTTTGACTGAGAACTTTCTTTTTCTATTGAGTTCACCAAACTGACACGTTTTAAGTAGGCCTAATTGTTTCATTGTTTTGAGTTTTATGAACTTGTTTCTTTCATTGTAGACTAACTTTACTGAATTTACTCAATTTAACTGAAGCTGTATGATTTTTATTTCCCAACATGTTGCTTTGGCACTCATTCAGCAATTGTGTGTTCACAGATGATGCTGTGCTGATCCTATCCAATATCTGTGGTACAACTTAGCAATTTAGCATTTATTAAATTAGCAAGTTAAAGCTAGCCAAGTTTCCACTAATAAAAATATTATGTTGAGATGATAATTTATAAGTTAAATGTATGAATTATCTTACTCAAATATATTTCTACCAGAAAGACTCAGAAGACAAGATAATAATGACATATATCAGCTCATTCTCACCCCCAAGGCGTCACCTAACTGACGCCTTGGGAAGCATTTGGACATGCTTCAATATCTGACGCTTTAGGCGCCCTTTAGCGTCAGTTAGATCAGCCTTTCTCAAAGTGGGTGCCGCGGCACACTGGGGTGCCCCTTAGCTGTGTCAGGGGTGCCGCCAAAAAATTACGTAGGCTAAAAAAAATGTGAAAAAAAAACCCCAGAAAAAAAAAACAGCTGACATTTCATATATAAATATATTTGAATTTACATTCTTCTTTTTAAACATATGAACATATTAATAAAATTGTAAATTCATTTTAGATAAACATATAAAATTAATCATAAAAAAATCCGTCTCACAAGACCGAAGCAAGACACGCACAACTTGACGCAAGTGACGCAATCCATAGCAACGCGTTATAGCAACACCTCAGACTGACAGAAACGTAAAAATAAACGTGAATTTAGGCCACTTTAGTTACAGCATTATGGATCGTTTTTTGAAAAGAAAATCCCCACAAGAGCCGGGGATTTTTATTTTATTTTATCTGCATCCTGCACTTCATTTGAGTTCTCCTGGTCTGGATTTGTTATTGGGTTCTTGTATTGGGCAGTCCACCTCTTACGGTTTTATGGCATTTGTGTCTCTGATTAATTATTTTGTGAATTACTTTGCAAACCTGTGTTTTTAAAGGTGCTATAAAGTTATTATTATTATTGTTATTTACAGTTCATATTATGCTCTGTTCATTACTGTTCTGTCTAACTAAACAAGACATTTGCATTTAAATTTGGGTTATGCAGTGTTTTTAAATTATATTTTACACTGGGGTGCCTTGAGATTTTATGCACTTTTGAAAGGTGCCCTGACTGAAAAAAGTTTGAGAAAGGCTGAGTTAGATGACGCCCTAGGATCGCGTGTACCCTACCCCCACCCCATA